TGCGAACCGGTTCCTCGAGCGCGACTCGATTTTCGACGTGGAATTTGGAGCCGAACGGAGGAGACCGGCTTCCTGCAACCCTCTCCAGACATTTCAGACTCGGGGTTCATTTGAACCGCTTTTCTCAGGACCAGGCGAGAGAACTAGAAGACAACGACGACAACAACGACAAAGAAGAAGAAGAAGAAGAAGAAGAAGAAGAGGAAAAAGAAGCATCGGCGCTTTATTCGCGAAACAGAGGTAGACAGAGATGCGATGGCACGCCCCCTCGGTGTCAGATTTTATTTATCGCATCGTGGCTTTTTGTTTCACGGTAAATGCCCCGGGCATTTAGGAGTAAGACGTTCCCCGATTTATGGTCTCCGGCCTGCCTTGGGTCCCTCTTCTTATTCTTTTGCTCCATCGAGCGCCCTTGACTCGTTTTCTCCTTCGGACTTGAAGCGTTGTACTCCTGCTGCATCCTTTTTCTGTTTTCGGCCTTCCGCGTTGCGACTCGTTTTTCATCGGATTTCTTTCGGTTCGTTCCGAGTAGAAAGAGCAACGTTTATCTTGCGATTTTTCTGTTTCAGATAAACATGGAAGCCGTCACATCTACCGACTACGATTCATCGAATCTCAGCAGAAACTTTAATCAGGTGGGTTTCAATACCTACAATTATTCGCAGTTCGAGGAAAAGTACAAACCGCGGCAAGTGTTCAAGTACAGCGACGAGTATGTGGAGTACGGTCGTAACTCTGTCAAACTAGGACCGAATGAGAGGTTTGCGAAATTATCGTCGAAGCATCAGGACGGTGTGGGTAAAATCGATCAGAGATATTCGCGTAGTCACTCGCAGCCAGAGAAACAGCATCATTCGACCCACGAAACGCGGTCCAAGTCTCAAGATTCGCGCGAATTGACCTTCTATCAGATCGATCCGCCTGCTAGAGTGGAAAACGTTCAACACCATTCGAAGGCTTATCGTTTCGCAGCGGAGAAGAGCCAGAGCAAAAAGGAGTTGACTTTTTACGAGATCGATGGGCCGACGACGCAAGAAAAGACGAAAGATAGCAAATTCGAGGTCTACAAGGACAGAAGCGACAAACGGGACAAATCGCATATCGTACAAGAAAAAGTGATCCCTCCGAAGCACGTGAAACAGAGTCATCAGGAACAGAAGTCGAACACGCCGCCGAACTATCAGTTAAATAGGTCCCAGTCTGATTTAACGGAATGTCAGCTGCCGAATTACTACAAGCATCAGAACAATCCTTACATCGATCCACCCAAGTATAGACAATTCGACAGACCGCCGAAATATCAAGAAACACCACCGAGGTCTGAGCCCCCGCCGAAGTATTCGGAAGTGGCTAAACGCCAGGACGATTACAAACGTGTTCAGGTGAGTACGATTCTTTGATAATTGCACTCGTCTCCTGTTTGGTGGAAATTGATGTCACACATCTTTTGCTAGATATTTAATATTGAACATTCCTACTTGGATTTTTATTATATATTCCTTATTCCTATTCAGATTTTCTACATTTCCGGTTTCCTTCGCGGATGAAACTCTTGTGAATTCAACACAATTAGCGATTACGCGTAACGTTATCAATTCGACAGGAGGAGAGGGGCAAACGACAAGGTGGAGGAATAGGAGGAGGAGGAGGAGGAGGAGGAGGAGGAGGAGGAGGTGGAGGTGGAGGTGGAGGGAGTATAGGCATCGGTAGCGGCAGTGGTGGCGGTGGCGGTGGCGGTGGCGGCAGCGGTGGTGGTAACTCCAACAGGGGAACCGGCAGTACTCATGGCGCCGAGACGCCCTCTAATCTGGCCAGTATCACGCCAACCGCGCGAGAAGTAACACGTGGTGTTTCGTCACGATCGCGAATCCCTTATAAATCGTGCGACACGCGTTACCTGAACAACAATAATAACAATAGCAACTCGAGCAAAGAGGAGACATACCAGGATGGTACCGAGGACTCGGAACTAACATCGTCGTCCAGGTGTCACGCAGATTCGTCCAAGCCGTCGTTTCATCATCATCATCAACATAATCATCATCATCATCATCATCATCATTGTCAAAGTCGGACTTGTGGAATCGGTGTGGGAAGTGGTAGTAGTAGTAGTAATAGTAATTGTGGTACCGTTTCTGGTAATGTCTGCCACGGTGGATCCGGTGTGCCATGCGATTCGTCGACGTGCGATAGATACAAGGGTGCTGTGGATTCTTTGCTAAAAGCTAGCGAGGCGGTGCAAGGTCGTTTGTGCGACAGATCGATGTTGAAGATCGAGAAACCGTCGACAACGAAAGCGATTCTTCACGGTGTCGAGGGGATTGGGAAATGCGGCGGGGATAGAATGAAATCGGCGCAGGAACTCGGTTACGGCAAGCACGAAAACGTCAAGTCCAAGAGTCACGATGTCGGTCATGGGTTCAAAGTCGAGAATATTAAATACTACGGCGAGCTGAAAGGTTACGATTTTAAATCGTACGGAACTATCGATAAACCGGTGCTGGTTGTCTCTGCTCATGAGAAATCGCATTTGCACGGACCGGAGAAGAACGGTCACGAGAAGTGTCACTCGAAAACGTCTTCCTCGTCGGCTATGCAGAGTTACGGCCTGTCCAAAGTCGCTGGTGAACGTCCAGCGGAGAAGAGCGTGTACGCCGATCATTATTATCACCGATCGTCGCATTCGAAGCCGCAAAACGCGTATCAAGTATACCAAGAGACCAAGTACTCGTACAACGTGAGCGGAGTACCAGGGACGCCGGCGCAGGCCAGCGCAGCCGCAGCTTTCTTCGCAAGGTCAGTTACTCAATCTACTACTCGCGATCACGCGCGTCCACCTGTTTTCGCCAAAGATTTACGGCTCTACCGTTCATTCTTCCCTAGTCATTGTTCCTTCTGGCTATCTGTAATTGTCCACTGTCTGGCTACCGTTTGTTTACGTGACGCCTCCTTCGGCTGGACGTTCGTTCCAACTGGGAAATAGTTGACAGAGACATTCTCGTTCATCCTTCGCGAAACATATTGTTGTGACACGAAATATTCCTGTAAACGCGAGCGCGCGCGTTTATTCCCGATTCCTATGTTCTAAATTCTCTCAGCTCTTTAATCTAACTCTAAATTCATATTGTTTTCTTTTTTCTCTCTTTTCGTTCTTGTCGTTGCTAACGATCGTGTTGTTTAAATCACGTAGATAACGCAGTTTTTTTTGTTAAGTGCTGTTCTTAATACGTTGACAAGGGCACAAAGACCAACGACTCTCAGAAACAATGCGAACAAAGGTTAAATAATCAATTCGGCGTACGAATGCCGATTTCTCTGTTCTCACGTGCGTGTCGCGAGAGCCCAAAAGGGAGAAATAGGGGTTGGATTCAGAAGGTACAGTACCTCTCACTGAAAGGTGATGGTCGCAAGCTGCGAGCAGATTTTCTTCTGAGATGTCTGCTGTCTGGAAGTTTGATCTATCGGGGTATGCGCTTTCGACAAGCGGCTCTTGAATGAAAAACGTACGGCTGGGGACTTCGCGTGAGAGCGTTCGGTCGAGCATAGGTCGCGTGCAGTTTACGCGAAGAGATAAACCTTCTCTCGGGGATATCTATGTTTTCCCTTTAACCCTAGCCACGACCCTGTCTCTTTAATAAACCTTACCTCTGGCTGGATGTTAGGTGCAATGACATTCTCTGGCTGCCTTGTATCCGTGTTCATTGGCATCGAGAGAGCGCGCGCGCGTCCGGATGTACACCGATATCGTCGACCTAGTATATACGACTGCAATTCCGCAAGCGAGTGAGTTATTGGTTGAAAGCAAGTAACGGTGCGATTAATAACGATTTTTCGGAAAGTGAAGGTTTTCTCAATCGCCGTCATTAATAAAAAAAAAACAGAAATCGCGGGGAAAGGCACGTAGAATCGAGTCGATCGGTTAGGTTCTTTTTTTTTCTTTTTCGTTTTGGAAAAATAAAATTCCAACAAAAAGTAAAACTTTTCGATTTCGATGAAAATTTCAGATTTGACAGCAGAAATAATGGTCAACGACGCGCATTTCTCCCGGATAAAAGTTCGTGGATACGTTTCTCTTGAATGTCGGTAGCAATCGGTGATGATAAATGCCGCTCTGTGATTTTCATGATTCTCGCTCGATAAAGCTTTCAAATAGCCAAACGGGCAATCGTTAATGGATAGCGGTGTCGGCTACACAGTAGTCCTCGAATGCGATCGTGAACTATTCTAAGAACTATTCCGATGGATTCATCTCACAAGACAGTGAATCCATCGAACGCCTCACATCGTTCCTCCTTCTTTATTGTCGGCCATTCTTCGTGCTTGTGCTGGGATTCTTTGGAATTAGTGTTCACCGTCTTGTTGTAGGAAGTGGCTGAATGCGATGAGAATTGAAATTAATCGTGCTTCCAGGAGTCGCGCAACGTGCTTCTACATAACGTACGATTGTTGATTTCAACGGTGCCAGATGCGAAAGATGCCATTCTGTTCACCGTTTTCGAACGGACCACTACCGAAGACAGAACTCGTCTCGTTTCGAACGAGATTCGTTTTCCTCTTCTCCCGCTATTTCCTTGTTCTTGTCCATGATCGCCGAGTATATCGGCAGTCTCACAAAGTATCTGCTCGTTGCAAACACAGTCAGTCGCCTTTCCAAATCATATGCGAATACGAGTGCCGTCCCGTTACTTTTCGGCTTCATGAATATTCGGCGAAGCATCGCCTTCCCGAATCGAAAAGAAATGACTACACAGCCGCTTGTATTACCACAGACAAACTTTCCTCGTGTTATCTCCACGCATCAATTTCCCGACGGGTTTGCCGGAGAATTGAAACGAACTTGAAAGTTCACCTGAAGTGGCGGCACGGCTAGTCGAAGTCTAGCGAAGCTAAAACGCGACAGATAGAATTGACCGAGGGTGAGTGCAAGTCGCGTTCCCTCGTTCAGTCGGGGGAAGCACGGGGAGAGAGAGAGAGAGAGAGAGAGAGAGAAGCAAGATCTGAAAGAAAGAAGACACAAGGCGAAGGTGTGGGCCAAGTCTGCCTGTATTGTTAACCGTCGTGATTTTATTGGCCTTTTATATTGTCTTCGCGCTTCTCTTTTCCATTTTTCGATTCGATGTTCGACTCTCTCCCTCCCCTGGCTGCCGGGGGTTCTTCTTTATTTCCCTGCCCTTTATTTCAACAGCGCTTCGTCTCACGTCGAAACGTGCTTCGGTGGCCTCGAAACGATTTTTACGAGACTTACGGAACGATTGTTTACGACTTCTTTGGAAATTGCGACTTCGTAACATCGTGTAGCACGATTTTGTCGAAATACCGGGAGTAAAAACGTGAATGGCAGTAACGATCTCACAGAATCGATATTGAAATGCATCGATGCATGCTGATGATTGGCACCTACCATCCATTCGATGAGCGCATAATCCAGCAGAAATCGATGACTGTTCGATGAGACGAGATGCCTTGAAAGAAAACGGAGGGAAAGAAGGGAAACATCCGGAGTTCTGCCGGTCGAGCGACACGAGCTTTATCCTATACATATTTATGCCCGTGACGACGTTTGTTTCCGTTTCGTAGAACGGAGCTTGGTCTCGTGCGCGTGCCGACAGATCGTATTGCTGATAGGAGAGTGGTCCTTAATTGGACAGGTGACATTTCCTCTTCAGTTTTCTCGCGTAATTCTCCGACTCGCTGTTTCTTGCCGAAAGGATCGTTTTCTTCTCACGAAAGTTATTCCTGTTGCTATCTAACTACGTTTAAGGTCGACCTATCAATTTATTTGATATTTCTTTGCGATTTATCCCGAATGAAAAGTTTTCCTTCCTATTCTTTTCTGTAATATTTAATGAGTAAAATAATATCTCGAGTAAATAGATGCCGGTGCACTCGAATAGAGACGAGTGAAAGATTCGGAAATGATTTCGAAGATTGGGGCAGACCGCGCTTGGTCCAAACAGGCCGAATATATCGTGTAGGTCACCGCGGGTTTGAACTCTCCGTTCAACAGGTAGCGTTCTCGTAGTCTCTGGGTTTGCCAGCGACCCGGCCCTCTCCATTATATTCATATCATGTAAATGCGTCCTACCGCTCCAACTGCCTCCCATTTTCCACCCTTGTGCCAGGCCAGACGCGAACCTGTACTGAACAGACAGAGAGGATGCGAGTACGTTTATGAGATGAGAACGATGGATAAAGAAGGACAGAGAGAAAAAGAGAGACAGATTGGAGGAGGAGAAAATTGGTTGGAAGACAAGGAAGTCGGAAAAAGAGATGGAAAGATAAGAAAGAGATATATCGAGATCGGAGAAGGTAGAACGTCACTTTGCATTTATTCTAATAGGATAATATTCGGTATCCTAGTGCCCGCTCGTGGCACCTCGCTTAGTACATCAATTCCTGGGCGACTATGTTCTTTTCACGATACCTTCGATTATCTTCGTCGGAGGTATATATTTTCCTTTTTTTTCTATACGGAGTTAAGCGTATTCCTGCAAGTATGTACGCGCAGATAACGTAGATGTCCAGTATCGCTGCGTGGGCGACACGCATATGTATACGTCTGTCTATCTTTTAACACACTAGGCATCGGCTATTAATTTTACCTTTTGCAGCCCAGAATATGAAAATCGAAAAATTTTCCTTTAATTTATTTTTAACTTTGTAATAAATAGTAGAAACATAATAATAATTATGTGTCTAAGAAGATATTTGTAAAACCACTACGAGTATCTGTAACAAAATTCAATTTCACTGTTATCGTCATGTATATCAAAATATTACATACACGAGCTATGACATGATTACAACAATGATGTTCGTGATTTGTTATACCACACAGTGGTTTGAGAAACAAAATGATCATATAATATCAGTGCATATTGCTGTAACTAACACTGAATATTGACGGATAAAAATCTCTATTAGTTGATTCTACACGCTGATTCTAAAGACTATCAGGTTTTTCAAAAAATACTTTGAAAGTGTGGTTTCAAAGCTTCTAGACCAAAAAAGGATTAAACAACATTTTATGTCGATCGGATAGTTATAAAGGACCATCAAAATTATATTAAAAGATTCGTAAGAATTAGTCCTATCCAATGGTCATATATTTATGCTTTATTTACGAGAAAGATTCATAGCGAGATTGAATTCTTAACTTAAAATCACGATTTTGATCATTCGTCCGGATAAAAAGACTTTCGTCTTTTGATAGATACGACGATAAGTTATATTGATGTACAATTTCTTCTTGCATCCCGTTCTCGCTTAATTTTTGGATTCGTTCGTTGTTGATCGGTGAAACGGTGGAAGTGGCCGGTTTCGCCTGATCCCAATTGAGACCTCGATTTCGCCAATTAGAAGAGAAATGCGCGTATTACGTCGATTAACCAACGGAATTTTAACGAGTTTCACAAGCGATTATTAAAAGCCGATAGCTCTGAACGAGCGCGTTTACTCACACCGAGCTGCTGAACGAAGCCAATGGAGAAAAAAACTGTGGTAGGAGGAAGATTCAGAAAGGGACCAGAAATGTGAGGAGGCGAAATTTGTAATCATGCAGGATGTAATCGCGGCTACGTGAGGCAATGCGAGCGAGCAATTATGTCACATTTCGGTATCGATATTATTTTTCAATTTGATCCTGATGGAAATACATGGTTGCTCGCGACAACGATGATGCTCCGTTGGTTTCGTTGGTTCTCCTCCGTTTTTCCTTACTTTTTCCTTCGTCGTGCCGGTTTTTTACTCGGTTCTTGTTCGTGACGCCAATTAACGGACAGGGACGCGCACCACGGACACCTATGATTAGCTGTTTAAGTCTGCGCGATGCGGATATTGAAATCGCACATTGGTGTAATTACGAAAAAAAGGACAGCCAGATACTGAGTGAACTTGGCCTAAATTACCGCCACGCTAAGTGGCTTCTACTTCGTTTATTATTTATGGAATGATGATGGCAACGCGATTGAACGTTATCTATCT